AAATCGGGTAGGGAGGGGTTAGGAATAAATCATCAAAGTTGAATATAAATTACACGTGTTGATTTACCGTGACATTTGGCTTGCTAGTTGTATTCTTAGTGATGGGGCATATCCCCTGCCCCGTTCTGAGGAGGAACATACACTCAGAACATGCAAGATGAAAAGCATTGAAAATAAAAACAAAATGTTCCACAAGGCTGTGTAAACTGACAGTTTGGCTCGAATAGTCACACCGATCTAACCCGTATCCACAGATCTATCCTCTTGTCGCTCCAGTCATCCTCTCTAATTAATCTTCCTCACCACCAACTCCCCCCTCTCATCCCCCTCCAACTCCAGCAACCCACCCGCCTCCAACTTCCTCTTCCACTTTGTGCTCTCATACCTCGCCAACACAACCGTCATCCTCAACACCGACTCCCCGCTACTCTCGTGCTCCTTCACCCCCCCCCCCATAGCCGTAAACGTCCACCTCCCAAACGCCCAATTCAGAATGTACCTCCCGCTCTGGCTCTTGGTCACAGGAACATCCTCATCCGAATTCTTCACCTCCCCCTCCCCACCCACAGTCAGCACAGCCTTAATCCTATAAACCTCATCCTTCGGCGCCTTCCCAAGCAACCCCATCAGCTTCCCCGCATCCACCCCTTTTCCTTTTTGCGTCCCCTTCAACTCAACACTAAGAACCTCCACCTCATTCCGATGCCCATGATCATGTTCGTGTTCCCCCTCCCCATTTCCGCCCTCCCCTTCCACCAGTCCAGCAGCGAGACTCGAATCCAACCCCAGCAAAACCCCAACCTCGACCCTCCCCCTATCACTCCTCACCCTAGCAGTCTCAACCTCCAAATCCCCCAACCGATCCACCACCTCCTCCACCCTCCTCTCCCCAACACCCTCCCACTTATTCAACACCACCAAATCAGTATACCTAGCCTGCAGCCTAACCGTGAAGCTAACATCCTCCTACCCCCCCAAATTCTCAAAATAAATCAACCTAAACAACCCCAATCCAAAACCCACTCCCCAACCCCCCGGTCCCCCTCCCAATTCTAATTAACCTCCCAAACCCAAGGGGGCCGGGAAACCCACCCCCCGCCCCTCCCCCAAAAAAAA